ATCTGAGTAATGAGCAAGAGGGTGGCAGGGAAAAGGGATGGAGAGGATATCCGAGACCGTGGGAACACCTCATGCAAAGACTCAGAGGTAAGCTAACGGGAGGAACGCTGGACGCATCCGAAACACAAGAGCTTTTCCTGATGGCCCGAGCTGGAGTAAGGAGAATCTACCGCCACACGGCAGGCCCTGCTAGCTGATGTTAGGCACCTGCCAAAGGGTGTTTACTGTTCTCAGGAATTTCTCTCCAGGAATTACAGATCTGTCTGCTTCTGGAGATTCAGGAGTGAAAACATCCGGGGACCCCATGTGGGTTCAAACCTCGCTTTATACCCTACAGAGAGAGAGCTGTTTACCACATTAGACAGCGCACCCTAAGCTGGGTTAGTGGGGAGAGCTAGCTCCTTAACACTCCAGCTTTCTCTTCCTCTCTGAAACTGGTTCTGCAGAAAAGGTTCTCCTGCATTCAGCAGCCTCTAAATGGCTCTCGTCACCCCCCTCCAGCCCAACCCAAGTGTCTTTCTTCAGTAATGAGTGTGTCACCACTGGTGGCTTTGGAGAAGTGAGAATTTGGCTAAGGGAGAGGAGCTAACATTCCAGGATGGGCTCGGCACTCACTGGCAAAGGTCCTTCTTGGGTACCCATTTGCTTGTCTTGCAGCCTTTTCTTTCCCTCACAGAAGTTAATAGGGCTCCGCCTAGTGTTTTGAGTAAGAAATGCCCCACAAGCTATCTGAACACTTGTTCTCCTGCTGGTGGGGAGGTTTAGGAGATGTGGTCTTGCTGGAGGAAATACATCACGGGGGAGGGGGCTTTAAGAGTTCATAGCCTGATTATACTTCCGGTTTGCTCTCTCTGCTTCATGTTCACAGCCAAGACGTGATCTCTCAGCTTCCTGTTCCTGCCCCGGTGCCAGCTGCTTGTGCCACACCTCCCCACTGTGATGGGCTCTTATCCCATGGAACTTTGAACCAAACTAAACTCTTTCTTCCGTGAGTTGCTTCTGGTGATGGTATTTTATTGCTGTAACAGAAAAGTTGCCAATACACTCCTATACAAATTTCAGAAAATGCAGATATGCCAAGTCATTAAAAAAAAAAAAAAAGACTTCTAAATCCATTACCACACAGAGATGGTTCCATTCACATTTTCATGCCCTTCATACTTTCATTTTCTTGATGGAAGGACGTGCTTTACCAGGCTGGTGCTGTCTGTGCTGCTTCTCATTTCAGGGTTCAGCACATCTTTACCAGCGGAGAGTTCCCACCACTGTTATTGCAAAGTCTGTGTTCATGTGTTGGTTACTTTACTCGTTGCTCATTAGTCATTGCCCCAAGAGGCACCATGGCCAAGGCAGCTGTTATAAACACAATCATTTCATTGGGAGTTTGCTTACAGTTTCAGAGGGTTAGTTCGCTATCATCATGGCAGACAGCATAAAGGTAAGAATGGCACTCACTGGAAGAGGAGCTAAGAGCTACATCCTGATCCATAAGCAGAGAGAAAGAGACAGAGAGACAGAAAGGAGAGGGAGTGTGTGTGTGTGTGTGTGTAAGCCTACCATGGGTTTTTGGAAGCTCAAAGCCCACCCCCAGTGACACACTTCCTCCTACAAGGCCACGCCTCCAAATCCTTCTAATCCTATCAAAAAGGTCTACTCCCTGATGACTAAGCATCAAATATATGAGCCTCTGGGGACCGTTCTCATTCAGCCATCACAGTGAGTCTAAATCCAATAAAGTTGACAAGAGTAACTACAAGATCTTACTTTGGATGGAAACACTGTTATTCATTTAACCAAAGCCCTGTTGGAAGACATGGAACACTCTCTCTCTCTCTCTCTCTCTCTCTCTCTCTCTCTCTGTATCTGCCTGTTTGTCCTCTGTCTCTGTGTGTGTCTCTGTCTCTGTCTTTATCTGTATCTCTTTCACACACACACACACACACACACACACACACACACACACGAAATAATGTTCCTAATTTGTTTTTAGATTACATTGTTTATTTGTTTGTGGGGGCCATGTGTGCTGTGGCACCTGAGTGTGGAGGTCAGTAGGAGCTAGTTCTTTCCTTCCACCATGAAAGTCCCAGGGATTCAACTCAGGTTGTTTGGATGGGCATCAAGCACATTCACATGCAGAACCGTTTTGCCAGCCCAATTATTTAACACCTCACTTCCTGTCCTACTGTGCCTTCTGTTGCTATGCTGAACACCATGACCAAAACAACTTGGGGAAAGAAGCCTTTATTTCAGCTGACACTTCCAGGTCACAGTCCATCACTGAAGTTCTGATTGGCTTGCTCACTGGCTCACGCTCAGCTAGCTTTCCCACAGCATCCACCCCCACCTTGACCGGGGATGGCGCTGCCCACCAGGGGCTTGGCCATCATCAACCAAAGCCACCTCCCACAGGCATGGCTGCAGGCTAATCTGATCTGGGCGATCCTTCCACTGAGACTCCCTTGGAATATTCTAGGCTGTGACAAGCTGACAACGGATGGGACTCCTCCCCTCCTTCCTGCAGAGACCTAGACAATCAGAGCTGGAGGACCTCATCAGATTCCTTCCTCTCCTGCACCCCAGAAACCCCAAGGAAAGCCTTTCTGTTCCACAAGTCTGGTGTGGCTGCAGCTTGTCCTCTGGGCCAGTCACCTTGGTCCAAGGTCCACCTGTCTCCTCTCACCATGAATCTCTTCTTGGCACCTTGTAGCCAGCCCTCTGGATATAGTCTTTCCACTCCAGCTTGTCACCAAAATCATTAAAGCCCCTTTCTCCACCAGGCTCCATTCCCAAAGGTACTACAAAGGACTTGGTTCCCAAGTGAGAGACTGTGGGCCCAGTCATAACTGGGAGGCGGCCATCCTGCCCGCAGCACAGTGCTCTTCAGCCCTCTCACCTGCTGGGAAAGACGAAGGTGCAATGGTACCTGAGCTGTTCAGTTGTTTTTTCTTTTTTTGTAGTGAGGATTTTTTTTTTGGGGGGGGGGTATGGTTTTTGTTGTTTTTGTTTGTTTGTTTTTATCAATCTGACATAAAGTAGGATCATTTGAGAGGAGACAACCTCGGGCAAGAAAATAACTCCATCAGATTGTCCTGAAGAGCAGTTTCTTCACTAATAGCTGGGATGAGAGGGCCCAGCTCACTGTAGGCAGCGTCACCCCTGGACAGCAGGTGGTCCTGGGTGGTTTAAGAAAGCAGGCTGAGCAGGCCATGTGAAGAAAATCAGTAAGCGGCGCTCCTCCACGGCTTCTGTGTCAGCTCCTGCCACCAGGTTCCTGCCCTGAATGAGTTCCTGTCTTGCTTCCCTCCGTGATGAACTAAGCTGTGAGCTAAATGAATCTGTTTCTTCCCAAGGAACGTTTAGCCATGGTAGTTACCACAGCAGAGAAGACAAATCAGGATGGTACAAGGACTGGCCGTACGATGGGGCCGGAAATAAAACAAGGTTGAAAGAGCCCCAGAGGAGACACAGCCGCCGCCGCTGGGGTGCCTCTCAATGGGGTCACCGTAGGTGAGACATACCCGGCCTCTCCAGCTCTCTAGCATGCCTCAGTGCCTTCCGTGGGCTCCGCCTACCAGAAGCCAGCTTGCAAATCTGAGAAATACAGTTTCTATGCATGATGGATAGTGTAAACCTGGCTCTCAGGTTAGATGAACTTAAGCAATGGTTCCGGTGTTAACGGTTATAACACAGAAAAAAATTAAGCACAAATTCTCATGTATCAGAGCCCGTTCCATCTAAAACACCGGCTACCTCGAGGGCCCGGCTCAATGTAACTGACCACGTTCTCGTGTGAGGTGGGTAGAGCCCTTGGCCTGGCCTGCATTTGACAGCGAGGCCGGACAAATGTGCTCCAGGGCGGGGTCCTTTCTCATGTGCGCCCTAAACCTAGCCCAAATAGACTTCCCCCATCCTCTCCGGGGCCCAGCAAGAAGAAGAAAGACATGTCTTAAACACTCACGCCCTTGTTAGCATGAAGTCCGTCTTCATGCCCGTGAGCACAGATATCACAGGAAGCCCCTCAGAGGTGAAGAGGGCTGGGGAGCAGTTTCCATCTTCACTGCCCCAATCTACAGTCCTGTGGTGCTGCTGGATTCTGGCCTCCTCTCTACTACCTTTCTCTGGGTGCGGGCCTGTGTGTGTTTGTGTGAGTGTGTGCAGGCCTCTGTGTGTTTGCGTGACTGGGGGCAGGCACATACGTGGAGGTTAGGGGGCAATCTCAGCATCAGCATCAGAAAATGCTTCCGTCTTCTTGGAGAGGACATTGCTTGCTGCTCAGTGCTTCATACGCAGGCTGGCAGGACTACCCGTTTACAGGAATGCCCCTGTCTCTGCCTTCACCCCATCCACAGGAGTGCTGGGATCCCGGATGCTGGAACCGCACGGCTCTCCAGCATCACTCAGGTTCTGGGGGCCCGAACACACTGAGTCATCTCCATTCCAGTTTCCCCCGCTTTTCAATAGATTCTTCACTCAAGATTCAAGCTTAAGGTTGCCTGGGCTTCCTAGCTCAGCAGCCTTGCCAGGAGGAGGCTGTTCCAGTCACCCTCTGCAGCCTGGGGGGACAGGGTAGGTGTAGGAAAGGAGGCATCGGGTCTCCCTGCCTTTCCTCCAGGCAGAATCAAGCCAAGAAGTCATTGCTGAAGGTATACTCTGACTTGTCCCCTCTCATGTCCTGTCCTTCTCAGGATAAATCCTCTTGTAATGGAATTATTAGGACAGAAGATACGCAGCAGGGGCTGGCTTTGGTTCGTGCTAATAGCTCCCTGATAAGATTGCATTTGGGCTTTGCCTTTCCCACCTCCTCAGCAGGCTGATCCACCAGCAGGGGCCTTGGGATGAATCAGTCACCAGACCAGATAAACAAGCCCTTCTGCTACAGAGCCTCAAGAAAGGAACCTCCCTTGGATCTCACCCAGGCCCTGGAATTCCTCAGCACCCAGCTAGGCACCTTTGTACCCCTGCCCCCACGGGCCCAGATCTTACTCTGCTTCTCCTCTCCCCGCCCTGTGCCGGGCGGAGCCAGCTGCCAAAGTGGCTAGTCTTCGCACATAGCCCAGCCTCTGTGCAGGGTCCAGAGCTGAGACCCAAAGGGGCCCTGGCGGGAGCCGATGAGGACACTACTGACCATCTTAGCTGTGGGATCCCTGGCCGGTGAGTGCTTCTTTACCTGTCCCCTACCCCAACAGCCAGGGAGCGCAGTTGCCTCTCGTGCCCCATGAGCCTCATAAAAGCCGGTTTCATTTTCTTCCTTGCTGGCACTAGACTGGGTGCCCGCTGAGTTTTCCTGGAGACAGGATGAGCTGCTCCAGGTAGCCGGAGAAGATGATAGAGTACCCCAGACCCCGGCTTCCCGAAGGGACTCACTTGACCTTCGAGTAGGCAGACATTGACCAGCTGTCTGAACTGGGGGTGCCGAGTCCTCACCCCTGGGGAGAAGGGGTGCCACTTCATTCTCGGCTTCTCACGAAGGAGGGGCAACAGGCTGGCCAAAGCTGGGGTTAGACCACTGTCTTCACCCATGTCTCCACAGACCCCTCTGTTTGGATCAGTAAAAGAACTTTCCTCCTACAAGGTGGGCTGTACTAATGTGCCAAGTGCCCATGCAAATGAGACTAAGGACTGTTGCCGTGAGGTGCAATCGGGTGAACTTTGGGGTTCCTACCTGTGAGACCTTCGCATGAGATGCAGGCTTGATCTGTTCTCCTGGAATGGATTCCAGGGATTCTTCCTCAGAAGCAGAGCTCAGGCGTGAGGGAAGGAAGCGGTCCGACCGTCTATGTCTATGGATGACTGTCTTGCTTAGTGCAGAATAGGGTCCCTAAAGAGACAGACCAGCAGCCTGGTGGTGGTGGCAACTGCGAATGCCTTGAATCCCAGCACTCGGGAGGCAGAGGCAGGTGGATTCTGTGAGTCTGAGGCCAGCTTGGTCTACAGAGCTAGTTCTAAGACAGCTGAGGCTACACAGAGAAATCCTGTCTTGAGAGAGAGAGAGAGAGAGAGAGAGAGCTGCTCCGGCTCCAGCCCTTAGTACCAGCGCTTCCTTCGCAATCCAGCTTGTGACAGGCTGTGGAGATTAACAGCTGCAGCTCCCAAATTCTCCAAAGCATGTTCTTTTAGGTCCCAAAGGTTGTGGTGTGGAGCCATGGGTGGCCTGACCCATTTGGATGGGGGGCCCAGATAGGAGCCCTGAGGAGGCTGGTCCCAGCATCAGCCGAAGACTCAGGCTCCCAGCCCAGCCCTCAGGCTGGCCCCAGGTCCCGGTGGACGTGGACGTTGGTTGTCCGTTTTTCCCAGCTCCCACAGCCGCTGATACATTGTTTTTCCAGCCAGATGTGAAACCTGTCTTTTATAAAGTGGCCGGACAACCAGACTCTCCGCCACACAGCTCCTTCCTTTCCCGGGTTTCACAATGTAGACTTTCAACCAGGAAGTGCAGGAATGACACAGGCGGGAAAAGCAGATGGATTTTAGGAGGGAGAGAAGAAGAGAGAGAAGCCTCGTTAGCCCCCTAAGTTAGGAGGGGCTCCGCCAGGTTTGCCTAGCCCGCTAAAATGCCTCCCACCCTGCCTCCCTTCGATTCTTTTATTGGGGTGCGCAAGCCTCAACCCCAGCCCCTCCTAGCCCAGACGTCCTACCTGGGACTGCTCTGCAGCAGAGTCTAACCCACAGGAGTAGAGGTTAAGCTCACCCAGACAGACCCCAACCAAATCTGCTCTCTCCTGCCCCGGGGCTCACCCCCATGTCCACCTAGAAGCCACTGCTCAAGTCTGTGTTCCTTCTGCTGGTCTCTCTTCCCCAGCTTGAGACCCAGGCCCAGCAGAGATCTTTAGAGACGGCCTCGGATCTGCCCGGGGATCCAACAAGCAGAATGGTATTCACATCTTGGGGCTCAGCGTCTCAGCCACCACATTAGGTAAAGACAGTGGGACACTCGAACGCCGCCCCCAAGGCCTCACGGCGTGGGCTCTAAGGAAGATCGCCACAGCTGCTGCCCCAGACTGACCCATATTCAGGGAGGTGTAGCCCGGAGACCTGCGGCAGCAGGGGTGGGCTCTTCTCCTCTTCTGCCCACCCTCGCCCCCGCAGCCCCCAGATCCCGGTAGATTTGGACGGCAGGAATGGCTATCCTCCCCCCAGACCCTCGTCTGCTGGGGGCTGTGGTCAAGCGTGGAGGAGGAAGGCGGAAACAGATCAAAGACATGTGTTCTAGCTCAAGGCCTTCCCTCAAAGCTCTGCACCTGTCTCTTTCCCACCCTCACCAACCAGGCTGTCCTGAGCATGTTCAGAGGCAGGGGCGGCTTTGCTGCCGTCATCTGCCCCTTCCTCCTCACCACAGGCCAGGTCTGGACTGAGGGAAGGGTTCTTCGAGCCCTGGGCTCTTTACTGACAGGGGCTTTGCTTCGGAGGCAGCAAGCCCCTCCCTGGTCAGCCTGGGGACAGGCCTGTCCAACCCTCTCCTCGTCTAAAGCTGAGCGAAAGCCTGGGCTAGAAGCAACGGCTGGCAGACAGGTTCTGTTTTGCTTTGGGCTTGGGGTTTTGGGCGCTGGGAGTTGAAGCCAGGGCCTCTTGCGTATTAAGCCACACTCTTATCTCTGAGCTATGCCCAGTCCTTGTTGTAAATTCCTTAAAGACTGTCTTCTGTCCTCCTCTCTCCTCCCATCTTCCTTGAACTGGTCCCCTGCCAGGGCTCAGACCACTGACACCTCCCCTTCGAGGAGGAGGAGGGCGCTCCTCCGCACACACTCTCCTGCCTTTCCAGCCCCTCCCTTACACTCGGGACAGACAGGGGGCCTGTAAAGTGCTGGTCACCTTCACAGGCCTTGTCACACTGCTCAGGCATGCAGCCCGTGTGGCCCTGGACCCTGTCAAATGCTACCTTTTGCCCTGGTCAACAGCCCCAGGCGAGCCTCGGTTCTCTCATTCACGAAATGGGGACAGCAGCTGTCACCGTCTAGACAGGGTGCATGTTCAGTGGAGAGGGATGAGCCGGTGGCTGGCAGCCGGCACGCCCTTCCTGCCCGTCAGCTGCTGCTGTTGCCGGCTTTGTCCGTTGCTAAGTAAGTCAAGTTGTCCGAGTTGTAGACTTGAGGAAACGAGATCAAATTGCTCTAAGGATTTCCCCCGTGGTGACTGACCCTGGCCATACGTCAGCATCTGCCCCTGCAAGGTCTGAGTGTAGAGGGCATCTTTGCCATCTAAGGAGGCAATATGGCTGGGAGGCAGGGACTGGTGTGGAAAGAATTCACCAGAGTCCACCAGACCTTCCGCATCACTGTGTGAAGCGATTGACTCCAGACGTGTGCCGTCTTGGGGCTTTTTCCTGGAGAACTCTGAAATAAGATTAAGAGTGCCAACCTCAGTGTCAAAAAGGTGAATGTGAGAAGCTTCGAGAGGTGGCTCAGCAGTTAAGAGCCCTGGCTTCTCTTGCAGAGGACCCAGGTTCAAATCCCAGCATCCACATGTCAGGCTCACAACTGTCTGTGACCCCAGTAATGTAACACTGTCACATCGACATACATGAAGGCAAAACACCAATGAACGTAAAGTAAAAATAAATTATATAGGTTTACATTTTTGGTTGTGAGCCCAGCCTTTAACGGCTGAGCCATCTCTCCAGCCCAAATTATATATTTATATTGTGTTTTCTCTTCAAATTATATATTTTAAAAGAGTGAGTGGGAGGGGCTGGGGAGATGGCTCAGTGGTTAAGAGCAGTGTCTGCTCTTCCAAAGGACCCAGGTTCAATTCCCAGGACCCGGGTTCAATTCCCAGCACCCACATGGCAGCTCACAACTGTCTGTGCCTCCAGTTCAAGGGATTCTGACACTTTCATACCAATGCACAGAGAATAAAAGTAAATAAATTATTTTTTTTAAATAAAATAAAACGTGAGTGGGAGGCAGTTAAGTTTCACGAGGATGTAAAGACATCTGACAGCTCAGTCACTGCTGGGAGGGGGCGGGGCCAGATTTTATACACTGTAGCCAGTTTAGGAAATGTCTTGGTGATTGCCTGGAAAGTTAAGAATAAAGGGAGGCTGGAGCTCGGCCGCAGAGAACTCACAGAACAATGCCCTGGGTTCCATCCTCAGCACTGCAGACTGGAGCTAGAGAAAGGAAGGAAGGGAGGAAGAAATGAAGGAGGGAGGGAGGAAGAGAGGGAGGGAGACAGAGAGGGAAGGGAGAAAGTTAAAGGTTGACCTACCAAGATGTGAACCCAAGAGAACTATATACACAATTGTGTCCACTCTGGATGCATACCCAAGAGAACTGGAACTATATGTTCACTTATTATTATTATTATTTTGGCACAAATGATCACATCAGCATTATTCAAAATAGTGGGGGAAAAAAGCTGAAATCCAAATGTCCATCAACTGATGATAGACAAGCAAAATGTGGTATATCATACTGTGAAATATTATCCAGTCTTAAAAAAAAATAAACAAATACTAATGCGTGCTGTGGATGAAACTAGGAAACCTGCTGAATGAAAGAAGCCAGACATGGGGCGGGGGGGGGGGGAGCCCACGATGTTAAATAAACGAAAGCTTCCAGAATTGGGGTATTCTAACAAAAACAAAACAGATTTGTGCTAGCCAGGAACTGGGGGTTGGCAGAAGAGGAATGGGCTGTGACCACCAATGTACAATTTCTTTTGTGGATACCGAAAATGTTCTAGAATTGGGTGGTACTGACAGCTGCACAGGGGTGGGAAGGGTCTCAGAAGACATTGACCAGAACACTTAAATGGTGGATGTCATGGAGCGCAAACCACGCTCGCTGGGCGGGAAGGGAGATGTGGGTGGGAGCAGCGAGGGGCGCTGGAGAATGAGGTGCCCCTCTCCTTGAAGGTGGGGGGCCCGCAGTCTGCAAACCCACCTGCTCACTCTGCTCCCGCCTCCTGCAGCTCGCACTGCTGAGGACACTTCTGGGCTCCTTCAACACGTGAAATTCCAGTCCAGCAACTTTGAAAACATCTTGACGTGGGATGGTGAGCCAGCTGGTACCCCTGGCACGGTCTACAGCGTGGAGTATAAGAGGCAGGTATCTCACCCAGCCCGACCCCCTCCTGACCCAGCTCTGCAGCCAGCACCTCTGAAAGTCCCCACACAGAGAGAGCGCTGACCTTCGACATCGCCCTCACGGAGGGAAGATACAATTCAAGTTAACAATACAGTTAAATAGCCTCCGAGCGTGAGAGCCTGATCCAACCATATAGCCGTGGGCGGTCAGGGAAGCCTGACCTCAGTTTCACAGTTTGTCGAGTGCGCATAATGACACTATGCCTGTCACAGGCTCTCAAACGGAGTCCGATGACGTCACTAGCATGCGCACCCTCTGTGCGATAAAGTAGTGATAACTGACTGTTGAGGGTGAGTTGGGTCCACAGACACTGCCCCTATGCCTCCTGCCTGCGTCCAGCTCCCACTGGACCCTTCTCCGTCCTGCCACTAGCAAACTCGGCAAGCCACTCCCCAGCTCTGAGCCTCGGTCTCCTCACCTGTAAAGAAGGGCTCACGGGGTTTGTGAAAGGGCAGGGAGGTGGCAAGGAGCACAGAAAACGGGCTTCAGCTCACAGGGTTTGTGCTCGCTTCAAACCACTGGGCACAGTTTCCTCCTCTGAGCAAAGCTGCCTCCCTTGAGCACAACTCGCGCACACACACACACACACACACACACACACACACACACGCACGCACGCACCTAGAAGGACCATTGTGAGATCCGACCTCAGTGTTCACACAGACAGACGGCTTCAACACTCGTTAGTAAACCACAGGCCTAGCGGAGCCGTGCGCTCACTGCGCACCGTGCCTGCCCTCACCTGTAGGTACGGGGAGAAAGCGTGGCTGGCTAAGGCGGGCTGCCAGCGGATCACCCAGAAGTCCTGCAACCTGACCATGGAGACCCGCAACCACACCGAGTTCTATTATGCCAAGGTCACGGCTTTCAGCCCGGGGGGCCCGCCAGTCACCAAGATGACTGATCGCTTCAGCTCGTGGCAGCACAGTAAGCAGGGGGCCTGCACATCCAGGGGGAGGGCAGAGGCTGGCACGCCCCTCCGGGGTGGGGTGGGGGTGAGCCCTCAGGCCTTCTGGAGTGGAGGGGACTCAGCAGCTCTCTGCATCTGGGCAAGTTGGGGATGTGGCTTTCAAAAGAAGGTGTCCCCAGGCCAGGGGTCGTTTCTTTTTCTCTAAGTCTACATGGAAGTTCCTAGGGCAGAGGGTGGCCCCGCCCCCCACCCTTGCCAGGATGCCTCCTCCATGTCTTCACTGTCTGGTATCCCACCCATCCTCTTAGGATGTAAAGCCCGCCACCTCTTCCCTTGCTGGCGAATCTTAGAGAAGATCCAGTTCCTCCCTGTAGCCCTGCCGGCCCTGCCTGGCCTAGTCCTCATGAGAAACACTCTGTATTCAGCGGGTCTCATTCTCTGCCTGCCCCAGCCTCAGGGCCTGCACTGCTCCCCAGGTCTGGGGGCTTAGTGCAACACAGATTCCAAAGAGAGTCCCTGAGTCCAGCCTTGACCACCTGATCTCAGCCAGTCAAAGCCAGCTGAGACTGTTGTTTATTCTCTATCCTTATGTATTCTCTATTCCCAGTGGCCCTCTCATTCAACAAAAAACGAATGAAAACTATCTGGGGAGAAATACTGCATCTGCACTGAGTCTGTCCACACTCTTCTTACCCTTACTTTCTGGGTGACACGGAAAGCACAACTACTTACCCAGCACTTACACAGTGTTAGGCATTCTCTGAGAACTGTGTACAGCGGGCGTGCTTAGGTTGAGCACAGTACTGGGCCACTCTACGCAGTGGACTAAGACAATGGGTTTATGCGTCGGTGAGGCAATCCAGCACCGATTCCCACAGACAGGGACAGACCCTGTGTACTGTTCATGTTGTCACAGCTGAGCTCACAGCTGTCAAAGACTGTGTTTGTTTAATATGTCTATTCTCAAGCTCCCTGACAAAGACATGAGCCCCAGGATAGTCTGAGGGACCCACTGGGTTCCCAGCCATTAGCAGAATGCTTGGAACACAGAAGAGGCTCCATACATGACTGCTGAATGAATGAATGAATGAATGAATGAATGAATGAATAGCAGAGGCCAGACTCTATACAAGCTAAGCATGTGTTGGTGTTGACTGACTTATGAAGTCATAATTCCCTGTGTTTTGAGACAGGCTCTTGTCTGTAGCCTTACCTGACCTGGATGTCACTTTGTAGCCCAGGCTAATCTCAAAATAGTAATGTCCTAGTTTGTTTTCTGTTGCTGTGATAAACACTGACCAAAAGGCAGGGAAGGGCTTGTCTAGGGCTTACTCATTCCCATCACAGTTTATCATTGTGGGACACAGGGCAGAAGCCATGGAGGGAAGCTGCCTTCTGACTTGTCCACAGGCTCCCTTGCAGCCCAGGCCTGCCTAGGAATGAGACTACCCACAGCGGGCTGACCCTCCTCCGTCACTTGGCCACCAAGAAAACGCCCCACAGACGTGCACACGGGCCAATCTGATGACCAGTTCTGCCTCAGCCTCCTGACCTGGTGCCAAATTCTTGTTTTAGAATTTCTTTGTTCATATAGTAGTGCCGGGAACTTTGCCATGCTATGAAGCATTTTCTGCAGCCTGATCTTCCATTGCTATGAAACAACTCATTCTATGGTGGAGTCCTAATTCCCTCTCCTTTTTGAGGACATTTATCTCCATTTTCCTTCTTTCTTTAAGATTTCTTTTTTACATTTATTATTTATTTATACGTGTGTGTGTGTGTGTGTGTGTGTGTGTGTGTGTGAGTGTCTGTGTGTGAATATGTCTTTGTGTGTTTAGATCAGAAGACAACTTTCTGGAGTTAGTTCTTTCTTTCTGTCGTGTGGGTTCCATGGGTTAAACTCAAGTTATTAGGCTCATGGCAAGCACCCTTATTCACTGAGCCATCTCGCCAGCCCTAGCTCCACTTTTCATGTTTATTGGAGTAAACATTCCCTGGCTAGGATGTTCTAAATCTTAGAGGGCAACAAATCATTGTCAGACTTGTACAAATTAGATTTGGGCCAAGTAGAGTGCACAAATTCCTGAAATTGGAAGCAAGATTTTTGTATGCTTACATTGTCATGGAGAAAAGAGCCTCAGCAACCATCATAACGTCAAAAAGGTATGCAGGGACTGGGGGCCTGGCTCAGTCAGCTCTTGCTGTATAATTCTGAGGAGTTTGAATCCCCAGCACCCATGGGGGAAAAAAAAAAGCAAAAATAAAAATCGTCAGGCATGCTTAGACTTGTCTGTATCCCCATCCCTGCAGTGCAGAGACAGGGAGAGCCTAAGAGCTCAGTGGCCAAGCCAGCCTCGCTGACACAGTGAGCTTCCAGTCCAGGGAGAGGAGACATTCCAACACCCTGACTGTGGGCTAGCTCAGCAGCCAAGAGCACTTGCTCTTGCAGAGAACTCAGGCTCTTATCCAAGCACCCACAGGGCAGCTCACAACCATCTTAACTCAATCCGGGGAAGCTCTCTTTGACCTCCTTAGCCAACCAGGCATACATGTAGTGCACAGATAGACATGGAGGCACAACATCCATACACATAGAATAAACCCAACATCTTCCTCTGACCTTCAC